AGGTTTCTCCAAATGGGTGATTGCAATGTACACCTTCTCTACGGCGTCCGTACCACTCAATGGACACTTGTCCCGCCCCTTCAAGTTAACAAGGTCCCTAAGGCAAGGCTGCACTCTCGCTCCACTACTATTCGTATTACAGATGAAGGTCCTACCCAACAAGATCAGAAGGCATCCGCATATTAGAGGCCTGCACCTTCGGGAGGACGCAACATGCACATTAAAGGGCCTCGCAGATGACTTGTTCGTAGTCTGCGAGAATTCAGAAACGTCGCTAGCCAAATTAAAGGAGACAATGACAGATTATTCGACATTGTCGGAGGCATCAGTTAACTGGTCCAAATCAACGTACCTACTGCCAAAGGAGTACGAACTGCAAGTGGAATGGGGGATGCGAAGGGTAGAGGAAGTGGAGGAGGAAAGATTTTTGGGTGTACTAATTAGTCTAGAAATACAGGAAACGAAACAAGTGACACCAATGCAGCACAGAATCGCAGCAAGACTCAACCTTTGGGGGCACGCATGACACTTGTCCATTATGGGTAGAGCCTCAGTGGCGAATATCTCACTTATGTCCATTATGTGGTTTGTATGTCAAGTGAGAGAAAACGTACAGAGTGTCGTGACTGTTATTCGCGGACTGATTGCAAGCTTCCTATGGAAACCGACACCAAAACAATCTAAAGGTTTCGTGACCAAAGTGGCATGGGAAACGTTGACCTTCTCTAGAGAACAAGGGGGACTAGGATTGATAGACCCAACTTCAAGAAACCAAGTACAACTGCGCACATCGGTGTGAAGAGTCGTAGTCTCAGACCCAAAGTAGCACTGGATCATACTTGGAGAAATAATTTTAATGAAGAATTGGAAGCTTGCACAGGCGGAAGACGTTTGTGCTTGTATTTTTATACCGTCTTTCTGCAAGAAGAAACAGTCTTCAACCTTTTGGAATGCCATCCGCAGAGTTTGGAGAAAGCTCCCCCCAGAGGTGCAAAACCAGCCACACAAGAAGGAAGAGGTTTTGATGCAGATCCTATTTGAGAACCTAAGGATCAAGGATTTGAATGAGGAGATGCTGGCAGCCAACGAAGTTGCATCACCATTCGGGAAAGCATGGATAAGGAAGGGAGTGGTACGCATCAGGGATTTGTGGTCACCGCTGATGGGGGGCTGAAAGTCGATATTATATGAAATCAAGGATGAACTGGCAGGTCCGCATCGAGTGGAACAACACTCGAGAACAGTATTGAACACAATTCCAGAGGACTGGAAAGATATACTAGGTATGGAAGGGGTGGACCCCCCCCGAACCTGGTACAAGGCGGGAGATGAGAATAACACAGTGACAGTGTGGAAACTGGTGGAGATCCAGCCAAGCAGTTCAGGAAAGTGGAAAGGTGGAGAGTGGCAGAACACACTAACACGCTAAGCAGAGATGGGGAAGAGACCATAAGGCTGTGGAATAACCTCAGTCAGATAAGAGTGGTCGAAATGCAAAACTAAAGCAGGAGAATAAGGATCCTGAAATGGATAGGGGTAGTCCCACTACAGGAACTGAACATCGACCCGTTAGCCTGGAGCTGGAAAAGGGAAGGGACACCAACAACAGAAAAAATGTGGAAAAAATCCATCAAGTTTCCAACTCGGTGCCCGTGGTGGACCAGCGTTGGAACAACGATAAATGCCTTGCCCAACCGTTGGACCATCACCGTTGTGTGTTTCCAACAGTTTGATCAACACGTGGCCAACGTTGGTCCAACAACTGTTCAACGTTGATTCAACGTCTTTCCAACACGTCTGTGTTAAAATTAAAGTGTTGTCAGGTTGCGATGACAGAAGTTGACTACTGCGGGCTAATTTAGGCACAATCACATTGAATCCACCTGATTTGGCCCGCGGTAGTCAACTATGGACTTGGACGAGGTGCGCGGGTTGACAATTGCGCACGGAAAGTGAACACATCAAAAAAATGGAGCGCACGAAACAACGTCGCACCCCTGACGAAAGGAAGATGAAGCCGATCCTGGTTGAAGGACCGCGGAGCTCTCTCTGCGGATGGTTCCGAATCCTGTTGCACGCGGCGTGATGCGCATCACCGTCGGGTGCGCTCCGCGACGCGGTTGTCT